ACAGTACATATTCGGAAATGTAGGATTTTGTGATTGGGATTCTAACTGTTTTGTCCATCTCCCGATGTCAAAAATATGAGTTCTGGTGAGAATATCCTACTAGTAATGTTTGTGTGCAACATTTTGAACCAAATGAGACGAACAAAACTGGTGAAAAGTTATTACAATTTCTATGTTAATTTCTTGATCATTCATGGAGGAACAAACAGTACACATATCACACACAATTCACACTGGCTGTATATAATGCCAGGGGAACAAAAGCTGAAATAAAACAGAAAATTTTCTTCTTCTATATAGCTTTCGTCTCCGATCTCGCATCCACCAGAGCAAGCAAGCCTCGGCAATTTTGTTCACAGGCGGCAAAATTTCCCCTACCACTCAACACGGCAGGCGTAAACCAGATTTCTTGATTTTGCATATGCAAAGGTCAGGGTCTCCAGAAAACTCAAGGGAGCAAAGACCTTATTGCCCATGTGTGCCAAGTGTAGTTGAAAACACAATATGCCATCAGGGTACTAGGTCTTGTCGCTTGCACTGACGGCAGAGAGGTTAACAGCTGGTTTCTGGTACACCCTTAAGACCGCAGTTCCATCGCCGCCATCGTTGCCGACCCTCCATGACCGGTCCTTCTTCCTCTGGGGCTTCTTGTGCTGCTTGTGGGATGCCTCTTTCTTCTTCTTCCCAGCAGGTTTAGACCCTTCAGTGGCCAGGTCAAACGATTCGAGGTCGCTAAGGACATGCCTCATATCTGGTTGTGCTGGATCAACTGTATCATCCCGTTCATCGGAATCGGAACCACCTGATTCATTGTATGCTGAGGTAGTTGGACCTTCTAATCCGGAGGTTTCTTCGTGTTCATTTTCAGTATCTACCATGCCAGGAGGAAGTTCGAAGTGTGGAATTTTACCATCGATATAATCTTTCAGTATCTGTCGAGCAGCCCTAGTCTCGTCAGGAAGTCCAGCATGGCTAACATGCCCCCTGGATGCACAGTAGGCTCGCAACAGCTCAGCAGCAGTTGGTGGTCTCGACTGCGATTCATATGGCTTTGGCTTTGGCAGAGTTATCTTGTAAATCTGTTCAAGGACACTTCTTGGGACACGATCTGCCACCACCTGAATAGCTTCCCGGTGCTTAGTCATCCTATCGATTGGCAAGACACCACATGACACCATCTCATGCCTTGAGCTTGAGAAGGAAGGGAAGACCAGACCAGGACAATCACATAGAGTGAGCTCCTCTGAGATTATCAGCGTCTGGAAATGCTTTGTTTTGCCAGGTGTGTGAGTAACACCAGTCTTCTTCTCACCAACTAAAGCATTGATTGTTGAACTCTTTCCAACATTTGGATAACCAACAAATCCAACAACAACATGCTTAGCCACTGATGAAACAGAATCAGAGGAAGTGGCTCTGCTGTCCTCTTTGATGGCTGCGGCCCTCCTTTGTGCTACAATGAATTCTGCTTCAGTTTGCAATTTCTTTAAGAGTTCATCCCTGCCATATATCTTGGTGTCCAAATCAAGTGAAGCAGAATCTTGTTCAGAGTATCCACTTAATATTTTGCCTTCTAATGTGGCAGTAGCAGCTTTAGCGGACCAGAAAACATAGAGAATATCATGTGCCTTAAAATAGTCTGCCCATTTTTTCCTGCATTTTGGCCAAATTTAGAGTGACGCCAGTTAAATATAGACAACAAAAGATGCCACCTAAATATCAACCAAGTGACATGGCACAAAAGTGTATACCTGATATTCATTGGTAACAGATCAGCCTTGTTGACAAGAATCATTGTCCTCTTGTGTTCATCAATTTCTTTTGCATATACCTACCATATATAAAGAAATGTCACAGGACTGAAAAGAAAGCAGCAGAATGCCCAATAAAATACATAAGGTGGGACACTTTAGTTCAGTTTGAATGCAACAGTACAAACACACTCAATAAAAGAATAACGGTGTTTACAAAGAAGATCTATTGGGAGTGGCTGAGATCCACCTGTTCTCATGTTACACAAAAGAAAAAAAAAAGAAATTGCTTCTGATGTTTTGTGCAGAAAAGGAAATATCATGGTTATCTTTCAGACCATCATTCTACTTGTCCCAGATAACAGTAACATTCTAGGTGGATAGCTATTGAAAAAAATGATAAGGAAATTACTGAACATTTATCTCTGAAGGAGAATTCATGAATACGATTTCTCGATCAATTTTACTACTACAACGCGTGATAGGTGAGCATTGATCATTAACCAGGGAGAAGCCGCAATCCATTTGCTACATGTATTAGATATTGCTTGAATGTGAAAAATACTATCCCAGAAACCATAATAAGTACCTCGAGATCAGGACAGCGGTAGAATAAGGGATCTCGAGCATCGACTACCATCACCAGCTTCATGGAAGAAAAGAGTAAAAGTAAGTATATTAGGAATTAAAAATAATCCGAAGAGGTTCTACTCTTCAATCCAGTAAAAACAAATATGATTGAGCACAGCAGAGTAGCACTTCCAGGAAAAAAAAAAGTAATAAGAAAGCAAAGTCAATATGTGAGCCAAAATTTGCAAAGCATCACCTTTAAAAATGCATGTCTTACTTATTTTTTTTGAGAAATGCTTAGCTTTAGTATCATATGTACTCGCAAGCAATCAACCACAAGAACGATGGGGGAAACTGATAATGAAAGTTGAGCATTACTCACCAGATCACTACGTTCAAGGACTCTCCAAAGCTGTCTCCAGATGTCAATGTTCTTCTCAAAGGGTGTAAGCACAAGCTTGTCATTTTCTTCCAATCTGCAGAAATGGATCACTCTCACGATTTGTCTATATTCAAACATTTAATTTGACAAGCAACAGCATGAAGCACTACATTTTTTGAATTGTTACAGCCAACATATGCTATTTACACCCTATGCATAAATAATAGTTGGTTTAATTTGCCCAAGAAACAAATATGCAACACAGATGCTCATGATCAAGTCAGCTACCCAGATATCAAACAGACATGTTCGAGAGAAAGCTCATCCTCGCATTAGTCTTATCTTGTACCATAACCAGATTATACAAGATAATAAGAAATGCTGATAGTTGGATATCAGTCCCAAAGTCCCAAACACGCTTTTGCAAGTGAATTTCCATTTCACATGAATTTCCAAGCATGATGAATAAGCTACATACAACTCGGTCATAGCACCAACCTTGCGAGATTCCTCCGCCAAACCAGGAAGGCCCGCCTCTCGTTCTCATCGAGCTCCTCCACAGTCATCCGAGAATTCCATGGTGGCCTAACATCACAATTCACAAACACATGAATAAAAATCACATACATGAAGAACACCACCAACACTATACAGCGAGCACAACCACTCACCGCCTCGGGACCCTGAGGCTGCCGGCGTGCAGAGCCTCCTGCTCCTTCTGCATCCGCCGCCTCTCCTCATCCGTCTCCCCCGTCGCATCCCTGCATCCAGCCAGCCCCCGACCATTAAAATTTGGAATTACCAAACAAAAGGCGGATTTTCTCAGCACCCAGAGGGCAATTCAAATATTCAATTATCAAGGGGGGAGAGAAGAAGCAGTCGCCTCACAGGTCGATGACGAGGTCGGAGGAGGAGACGGAGTCGGCGAGCGCGGAGTGGAGGCGGTCGGCCTCGGCGGCGCGCTCGAGGACGGCGTCGATGTCGCTGACCTCGATGACGGACTCCAGCGGCTGCGCGCGGCGGCGCGCGTGGGCGAGCGCGTCCCCTCTCTCCTTGACGGCCGCCGCCGCCTTGTTCCGCTGCCGGATCAGCGCCCGCCCCAGCCCCTCCCCCTTCTCCTTCTTCCCGCCGCCGCCCGCCATCACCGCCGCGAGTTCGTCGTCGGAATCCGCTAGGGTTTTTGGCGAGGAATGGAGGAAGCGAGAAGACGAAGCCGCTCGACTCGAGCAATTCGAGTTCGTCTTTCTTCTGTGTTGCGCGTGTCACTGACACGGGGACCCCACCGGGCAGAGGCGTATGGGATGACGCAGCAGCACACAAAAACTCGTTCAGAAAAAAAAATGTACTTCTTAATGCTCCCAGTCATAATTCACTCAAATTTAAAGCGATTTACACATCGAAACCAGCGTTTTTTCTTTTCAGAATATAAGCTTTGTGGGTAAATAAAATTGAAGTGATTCAGATCTATGTTTGTATTTGGTGGCTTCCATTATGGTTGTTGGGGGTTCCGAGGTGAAAGTTTGCTCTGCATGCTGGTGCTAGCAACGGCGACGCCCTCGGACGCCGTTCACCTTTTTGAAAGTCGTTGTTATTGGAGCTCTCGTTCAACTTCACTTTAAGAAAATTCTCCGGGTGAAAACCTTAAATTCTTTTGGATTGGACGATGTCGTCGTTCTGTCGGCGTAACCTTATTGAAGGCTTCGTTTTATGAGTTTTTTTTTCCCTTGTTGGACTACTATTCTTATGTTTCTTGAAGGCTTTGTTTTAGGAGTTTTTTTTTCCTTGTTGGACTACTATTCTTATGTTCAGTATACCATGTCAGGGTTTTCGCCGGTTATTCATAAATTAACCGTGCCAATGTAAGGTTGTCAGGTCCGATTTCCCTTATAAACTGGATCAACTCTCTTCTTCTATAGTAAAATTGCATGAGCTCCCTGTTCCCTCGAAAAAAAAAAAATCTATGTTTGTATTCTAAACTATAGAGAAGATAGTTTTCATCCTAAGTTCTCAGCACCCTCGATATACTATTTTGTTCTAACATACTCAATCTGTTCTAAAAATATAAAAATATAGCAATTTAGGATACATGCTATTCGATTATATGTTACTATATTTTAGGACAAAAGAAGTACAAACATGCCTAGATTTAGACAGGGTAACTTCCAGCTCAGTCAAGAGCCATGATAAGCATGCCTCTAATTCTTCAGAGTAGAAGATCGCAAATTTTAGGTATTGCTGCTAGATTTTACATTACACATGCAAACCAGCAGATTGACAAAACAGAAAGTTGAGGCAAATACAAAAAGGTAGAACTAGTATCAAGATTTAACATTATCACCATTAAATCACCCAGTATAGCATACTCCAGTACATATCCACCGGACTCAAGGGCAACAAAATTTCTAAGATAAATGGAACAAAGTCCATCAAGTTTTAAAGGTGAAAGAAGAAACCACTGTTCTAGCAACAAGGCCATAGGCCTGAATGTTTTGATTTGAGAGCTTGAATCACTATGCAGACCAGCCATCTGCATGCATCAAGACTTTCAGCACATCATAGTGACCATCATCCTCGGTCACATATCCAGTGTTGCTCATGACGTTCATGAGAGGGACGAAGTCAGGATCCTTGAGGCGCCTGATCTTGTTACATTGCTTCATGCCTTTCCAGCCTTTCAAAATACTTAAGATGGTAGCGAAGTCAGGTGCCTGAAAGTTCATGAAGCGGTCATAATCAACTTCACTCTCTGTAGCATTTCCTCCGATGTCTCCCCCCTTACTCTCTCTTGGAAGAAAGCGCCCTTTAGAATCTCTTGAGAGAGTGCATTTTCTCCCTATCCTGCCAGCAACAGTGCCCTTTTTGCCCTTCTTTTTGCTACTTTTCTGCATCATCAGGTGGCACTTACAGAAATTATTGAAGGGAAATAAGTACTGTATGGCATGATGGAAACACCCTAATGTACAAAATAGGACCCTTGCAATAGTTCAGTGAGGCACACCTTAATTTTTTTGGCCGGGCTGGCAAGGTTAATCTTAACTTTGAGTGCCTTCTTCTCCCCTCTTGCCTTGTCACCAGTCCTGCGCTTACTCTGCATTTCAGAAAAGAGATTGGGCCTGAGATCATACAAAACCACATGTTCCTCCAACAGCTACTCCAGTCAAAATATTAAACTTTTACTATATCATGACAGGATATTCCAATAGACCATTCTCTTAATAAGTTTGTGTCACATAAATATGAAAAATTAAATACAAAATTCAAATATTTGAGAATGAGCATTATGTTATTTACCAAAGTGCAAAATTAACGTGAGTGTTCAAGTAAGGTTGTATGATCATGCTTGTTATAGTACTGATACTTGTAGTTCCAACATCAAAACAGGTAGTATCAAACTGAAACAATTAAGAAGTGTTGGTACAATATTTCAAGTGAACTCATGTGTATATTGCTTTAATGATAGTACCCCACACAATTTGTGATCAAGCTAGAGCAAAGTTTGGAGTATGCAAAGGTAATTTAGTCAGAACAAAAACTGTGTTAGCGATTCATCATGTGAAAACTAGAACTTATTGTTTATTCAGTGAGAAGTAGGCCCTAGTGCACGTATACATTAAGACAAGTCAAGGCAAGAAGCATTAGCTGGAAATGGGATAATGAAAGGCGTTGCAAATGTGGTAAATTACCAAATGCATTATGAACTAAAGCTGAATGTGTATTCGTGCTTTTAAGTAAACAAGGTTAGGAAATATCTTTATACCTTGGGCTGACCAAGACTCGTGGCACTGCACCCAGAAACTTGAGGTCCATCAACTGAATCTAAATGTCAAAACGATGCTTTAGTATATTTTCAATATCCATAAAGTCCATCAGGGGTCCTTAGATATATGGTAAAAGTAGTTAATAACAGGTGAAATGAATAGAATAATACAAATTTTCAGCTGTCCATGGATAACTTAAATCCCTATAAATTTCAAAAGAAAACTATCCAAATTTCATCAAGGTAGTAAGATATGTTAAGGCTCTAATTGCCTCTTCATATGGACATTTTTCTGCAAAACCTATAATTAAGATTTCTACCCAATCAAAACTGTTAAAAGCCTATTCATGATTATATGCAGATAATCAGTACTATTTTGCACATGGTTATCTTGTAGTCTAGTCAGATCTATGCACGATGCAACGAAATTCAGATGAAGCTACTAGAACTAAAACCCCTTTTACTATATGAGGGTTGTCCTGGAAAAGAAGTGATTCAGTGATAAAACGAAGTTGTCATCAAGCATGATTTCTATAACAATAACTGGGAAACTCCCAGATCCATGGCGATGGAAAATCTTTCTCAGATAAGTGTATATTTCGATTTTTGTAGTAATATGTAGAATAAACATAATAGAAGAACACCTTTTAAATGTTAAATCAGGCTAAGCAAGGCTGAATTTGACAAATAAAGCAATAATCCCCAGCTACAAGCTTCCAATTAGGAACAAGATCCTATTTTACTCAGCCTATTTGGAACATGTGAATTTCTCCAGGAACAGTTCAATTCCTAAAGAAGCTCCCATATTCCAAATAAGATCGAAGCTCCCATATTCCAAATAAGATCGACGATATTTCTAACAATTGACCTGTGGCTTAAAAAAGAAAAAACTGTATTGCATTGTGTTCACACAAACATTGCTTGACCTAGGTAGGTGAGCTCAGCTGCCAATAGACACAAAACCCATAACATACCACACAAAAGCATAAAAAAACAAGACAAACTACTTAGTTGTGTACAATCTATTTGCTTTAGCCTAACTACACCTTAAGCCTGAACCCATGAATAGGCCTACTGCTAACATGAATTAAGATAGAGCATTGCCACCTTGAGACATGGCTGAAGCAACCATCTGAAATCCATCGTGCCCCATGAAGCCTGCCGTTATGTCTTCCAAAGAAATCAGCAACAGATCTGTATAACCAAGCACCAGAATGATGGAGTGAGCAGTAGAAATGAAAGAAAATTCTCAAAATTTCTAACCAAGCACATAGAAATCAGTAGAGTATCTACGGGGATCTAGACATGCTCAAAGAGGAACACAAAACTCGCATTCACTTGAAACACTTACAGGAAAGGGGAAACAGGAAGATCAAACCGTAAGAGGAAACACGCAAAGAGTGAGAGAGAGTGAGATAGAGATAAGAGTCAGAGATTGAGAGATAGATATATATAGAGAGCACAAGACTCGACGGAGAGATGTATATAAATAGGAAAAAAAAGGAATCCATAATAATCTTCTCCCAAAGCTTTAATGCAGATTGACTCTTAATGACAAACAAATCCTTCTCCAGCATCCTTATCTTTAATTGCCAAGCCGCAACGCGACAAAACATGATGTAGACAGAACTACACTACCACTAGTGCTAAATGCTAGAACAGATCTTGGGCATGCAATTAAATGCCAAGAAAAATATTTACAAGCGACAATCACATTCATACCACTAAAATATCACCATGACGTGTGTTAAGAAATGCATTGGTACCACATTTAAAACTGAACTGGATTCACCAAAAAAAATTATTGCATTCATACTACATTCACTAAAATAGCGGCAATCGCATTCATACCACTAAAATAGCACCGTGCCGTGTGTTCAGAAATGCATTGGTACATGGAACCAAATTTAAAACTGAACTGGGTTCACCAAAATATTATCACAAATTACAAGGTGTTTGTTTCACACTATCACATACCACTTTTATTGAACCAAGTAAACAAGCGTACATCTGTTCCAATTATTCTTATGTCATTTTATTTTCCTAACTAAGTGGGTTGAACTTGAACGTCTTTCTTCTTTAAAGACAATATGCACAAATCTTTTAGTTCTCCAAAAAAAAGGGGCATACTAAATTAGCATTCTATAACCTTGTGATATTGCATAGAAATTTTAGGCCGTAATGTTGTTGAAAGGGAATATATATGATATGTACACCTTTGTTCAATGGTTGATACTATTATTAAGTGTTAGACGCCAATCCCTTTTTTTCAACGCTGTTAGATGTCAATCCTAATGCCTTAGAACTATGTAGTACTTAGTTTTCCAAGCAGGTCACTTTGGCACTGTTTTATCGTGTCATATTTCACAACAGAATTTAAAGTTATCTCGTTGTTTAGTGTTAATTTGGTAAATTTGGTATTTAGTGATATCATGCATAATTAATTTGATAGATGGATGTATATGATTTCAATGTGAATAAGATGTCATACCATGCATTTTGAGATAGATTACCCAATTTGAAATTACTATATATTGTTGTTCGAGGCATTATCTAGTTGCGGGAGTGATCGGCGGTGATTGCTGTGGCTGTTGTGTAGCTGCTGCCAGCTGCAGCCAATCTCAATTGCAGCAGTGGCTGTGGTTGCAACAACAAGCACAACCGATCAACCCTGCGTAAATTCTATAGTGCGGGGTGTTTTCTGTATATTTTGTATAGCTTCCTTGTATACATGTTATCCCAGTTTGGCCCATTCCACAATCCTCAACAACCGCAAACAAATGGAGTCTGTTGTGCTAAATATATGGATGGTTACGCATGTGCAGGATGTGCACATCTAGCTAATTCTTTGAGCATCTACACGCTTTAGTTTCCTTATTTTTTGTGAGATCTGTTATAAGAATGTTAATACTTTCATCCTGATCTTGCAACTTGAAGCCAGAATTTCTTCCTTTTTACCTTTTCAGAAAAGACACTAGTTCTCCATGCTGGACCTTTTCTATTGGAGAATTTCAGAAAATGCTGGCATTTCGCTATTTTGACTATTGCAACTTCAAACCACAGTTAAGACATTCATGAAATACTCTCCTTAAAACTGTTGTATAAAGAAAACAAAGACAAAAGGGAGGGGGAATGGTCGCTGCTGAAATAGTGAATTTGATCTCAAAACTCAAAACTCAAATCACAAATAGTTTGTACACTAAAGTGCAAATTATGTTAAGAAAGATGTAGCACAGGGAAATTTCTGGGCATGTTAATCAAGAGATTTAAAAGTTTGTCAGATACTATAGGACTACAGATGATTATATTCTTTGAGGCATGTTAATCAAGAGATTTAAAAGTTTGTCAGGACTACAGATGATTATATTCTTTGAGGCATGTTAATCAAGAGATTTAAAAGTTTGTCAGATACTATGGGACTGCAGATGATTATTCTTTGAGGTCTGGGAACTTTGAACCAAAAGGAAGAACTTTTAAGGCTAAATCACTTCAGGTCCTCAATGATTATAATCAAACCTACAGCCCTTCGCATGACAACAAATGTTATTAATCATTGAGATGACGGATTGTTATCGATTGCCAAAAACTGTTATGAAGCTTCCTTGTGTGTTGTATCACGAAAATCAACTACCTTTGGTAATAGCAGGAAAGAACTCCCTGATGCTATCCTGTTGTAGAACCAGAACCACCAACTGACCAACCATAAAATGCATAGACTTGATATCGCCCATGCATTTTCATTGTTCACAAATTAAAAGCCAGTGACATGACATGCAAACAAGCAGCAGTAATAATCATTGACCAAGCAGTAGAAGCGCAGCACTAACATTACAAGCCTGGTTCATCATCCCTGCAGAGATTGCCAACCGTTGGTTTTGATCTCCTTTATGACCATCAAAGAAATCCCATCATTCCATGGCTGCCTGCAAGCAACAACCACAATCACTCAATTCATCCAGGCATCCAGCAATGTGAAACAGTCATGGTTCACAATAAGAGACAGACAACAATAATATAGAACTACTCACCACCATGGAACAGGGCAGATGCTTGCCTCCATTTCCCATTGGAGAAGACAGCACCGGCGCAGGAGAAGGAATCCCATTCATGAAATGCAGACTAAGCAAAAGAACCGCAAATGAATTAAGTCGGTGCCAAGGCAAGAAAGGGGAAGAAGGCACTCAAAGTTAAGATGAGCCTCACCAGGTAGGCAAAAAAGGTAAGGTGACTCCCATTGAACACTTGCAAGTGTCCTAGTTTTATCCATAAGGATATTTCTATCATGCCATACAATGCTTTTTCCTCCATAAAATAATTTCTATAAGTGCCACCTGATGATGCGGAAACCAAGCGAAAATAAAGGCACTACTGATGGCAGGAGAGGGAGAAAGTGCACTCTCTCAAGAGATTCTAAAGGACGCTTTTCTTCCAAAAGGAAGCAACGGGGAAGACACCAGAGAAAGTACTACAGAGAGCGAAATTGATTATGACCGCTTCATGAACTCCCAAGCACCTGACTTCGCAACCATCTTAAGCATCCTAGAAGGCAGGAAAGGCATGAAGCAGTGCAACAGGAGCAGACGCCTCAAGGATCCTGACTCCATCCCCCATGCCATGAACAACACTGGACGTGATCGTGGACGACAGTTACTACGACGCGCTCAAATTTTCTATCATCTTCAAAACTTGCTGGACTATCTTCCATTTATCAAGCTTCCTTTCCTTAGGTGTTCAATCACGAAACCCAACTACATCTAGTAATAACAGGAAAGAACACCCCCGACGCGATATCAAGCTTCCTTGTGTGTTCAATCACGAAATTCAACTACTTCTAGTAATAACAGGAAAGAACACCCCGACTCGACGCGATTCTATCGTAGAGGTCGCCAAACAATTGGCGTCGATCCCCTTCGTGGCCATCCAAGCAATTCCACCATTCCATAGCAGCCTGCAAGCAACAACCACCAACATATCCAAATCATTCAGAAATGTAACATGATCACGGGTTCACCATAAGAGAGAGACTACCCACCACCATGGAACCCAGCGGATCCGGGCATCAACTTCCTCCTCCGCGTCCCCCGCCGCGCCGCCCGGCGCCTCCATCTCGGGGAGAGAAGGTCTCTTAACCCCTAGCATTGCCCGCCGCCCACCGGAAAGTGGTGCGCGGCAATGGAACAAATACTGCAGGCGAGAGCGGGAGCGGGAGCGCGCGCGCGAGGCATGAGGCGGCGGAGGATCTCTCGCAGGAGCTCGCCCTCGCCGCCGCCGCCGCGACGGCGGCGAGGGCGGCTTCGCCCGATTGAGGCGGCGGCGGCGGCGGCGGCGCAGGGGAGAATAAAAAAAATAGGGCAACCCTGGTTGGGATCGCTAGTATTTGTAGTGACAGTGTATTTTTACAAAATAGACCCCGAAAGAATGGAGAATTTGCAATTATGACACTACAAACATTAACCTTTACTATAATGACACTGGACCCACATTTCATAGACACAGATGGGCCCATTTGTCATCCACTCGGAATGTCAAAATAGCGAAACCCTCATGTTTGCAGTCCCAATATTGCAATTTTCTCCGAAAGAATGGTAGTGACACTAAATGTTACAAAAAGACCCTTGTTAGTCCTCACTAGTACAAAATGGAGACGATGAGAGGCTGACAGGGTGGCCCATCATGTCAGAGAGCCACTGATATTAGTAATGGTGATCTAGCCAGATTTTCCTTTCTTTTCTTTTTTTTTTTTTGAATCTTCCTTTCATGGTGTCAGGTCTCTCCGAAGTTTCATTTCTTCAGGCTTTTCCACGCTGCATTTCGTTTTCTGTCGGTTCAGAGACTTCATTTTGGTGTTCTTTGTGAATTTAAAGATATTGTAAGGAGATTGGTAAAACTTTAGGCTTGTTTGGATTGAAGTCAATTTTCATCGTACCAGAATTTTAGTAATTTAATAGTATCGAATGCATGTTTGGTTTGTTGCCAGTTTTTTTCCATGCTAGTTCAAATTCTAATGCGAGGTGTTAGCATTGCTAAAATTTACTAGGTTAAGCCCTTGCCAAATAACCTTCTTGCTCCATTTTAACATAAAACAAGCAAAAAAATGCAGTTCTTCTGCTAGTATCAGTTATCAGCTGGTTAAGGAAAGAATACAAGAATCAATCAACCAAGATCATCCAGATATATAGAAGCATATCACTCCCAAACAGATTATACCTTCTTGCAGATATACCACATTAACAAGATACACACAAACAAGGTCTTAATACATCACTAGATTTGAGTTTTTTTTAACAATACAAACTGCAAACCAAGCCCACACAAACTTCAAGCATAGTGCTACAGTAGTAGTTCAGTAGATCAACAAAGCCAGGTCTCAAACTCACAATAGTTATCAGGATACAAGCACACCACAATCATCACCACTGGAACCAGTTCAAAGTTCCAGACTTTATTTACCTTGCCAGATTAAGCTTGCTACCTAGTAGTAGCAGTTCAGATAATGGTAGCAAGCAGTAACAGCATAGCATAGATGATTTTTTTTTTTTTTTACACGCGATGGGTTGTTCTGATCACCGCAGGATCCCAGAAACCGGTGCTGGAGTTTCCGGGACAAGTAGGCGATGAGCGGAACCGATCAGCCAAGAATGAGTTGCCTACAGACAGCCAATACCAGCAGGGACAATCCCTGACCTGGAGCTGGGCAATGTATCCAGCAGAAACTGCTGATGTTTGCCAGCTTCGGCTGCCCGGTGTATCCCCCCTCTAGTCATGCTTTGAGGAGGTCACAGCAGCCATCAGAGGCTGCTGTCCACTTGAAGGGGTTACCAGCCCCGTGCTCGACATCCATGAGGCTCGGGAGCGGGGTGAAGAAGTGTGTCCGGAGATGATCAAAGCTATGGAAGTGGTCCATGTCTTCGTGTTCATATATGCTCGACACCTCTGACCCGGACAGGCTGGAAACGCTGCTTGGGTTGCACTGCTCCGAGCTGGGAGATGCGGCGGGGCACAGAGGCGGGATGATGATGTCCATCACCTTCCTGCCTCCACCAGTGGTTTTCCCATTGGTCTCTTTCTTCGTGTTGAGGAAGCGCCCACCAGAGCCTCTTGCACGACGCATTGCATGAAGATGGCGTGATTCGTGAAGATATGGCTGCATCAAAGAGAACTCACATGAATGCAGAAGAGAAGAAATTCTGCGAGATAAAGTGGAAATGGAATCAAAACATCTCACTTAGGCAACAGTTTTGGATTCATTGATAGTTCTTTCCTTTTCCTTTTTTTGCCCAATACAGTATGGGAAACCCCAATGGTAATTTTTAAAAAGAAGGATAAGTTCTTACAAAGATATGTACAAAATTGCAAAACTGAAAGAATCCATCGACAGTTGAAAGTTGAGACTTACTTTTCTAGCTTTGACCAGCCTATTCTCCCTCTCTGCCTTGGCACGAGCATGGCGACGTCGAATGATGGCTGAACACTGTTTTGCATTCACATAAATTGGTGCATCAGCTGGCATATTTGGTGGAATAAGAATTCGCCCGCTAGGCTGCATTCCACAAAGAAAATAGAGGAACATATTAGTTAGCGTGCATAATTTAGAGCTTTCAATAGATTATGCCAGTTGAAAAACTACAGCTTGAAACAAAAAACAGTCCGTTTTACATCTTTGCTGGACTACCAAGAGGGAGAAAAAAATCGCAACAGCAAGTATGTCCAAACATCATGAAACTGCGCCTGCTATTATTACCAAAGCTTTAGCCATACCTGCCTATTATTTACCCGTTCTTTCTGCACTGGTGAATAAGATGCTAAAGCATTTTTTTCTTTATTTATTGGATTGATTAAAGCACTGGTGAGCTTAATCAATGTTCACAAATCCCAACACATACAAAAACAGTAAACCAATTTGCAGCAAACAAAAGAATTGTTGCACAAGACTGTTCAAACTGTGGAATTCAAGGGCACAATTGATCAAAGTGCTCTATATATGTGTTAGTTTGGTGATAGTGTTGCTACAGTTAGCTGTGTTTTCTTCAGAGTCAGAGAAAATCTCAAGATGACTCCTCAGAGATCAACAGAAACATACCGTTGGTCTCACTCCATAAGGAGAAAGTAGGCCATAGTGCTGGTCAGCATAAGGATAATTAGAGGGAACCTGAAACATTGAAGCCATTTCTCAACTCAGCACTAGGGAAATTCGGAAATGGGCATGTTCATCTGTAAGGTCGATGATCTTTATTCAATGCGTCAACATAAACAAATAGAGGGGAAAGCTTACCACAGATTGACCAAGGCCCAGCTCAAAACAGCCATTATATTCTGCAAATGGTGACTGCAGAGCAATAGTAGTTGAGTGCTCAGAACATTTTTCTCCTTTACCTGAAAAGCAATTAGATGTCCAATCATAAAACAGAAGCAGTCAATGACGGTCTGTACTCTTATTATCAGAAACAAAAGATTGTTCATGCATGATTCAAGGTTCTTGTCTAGTCTAACCAACACAATTATGTGGTAACCAATGTCAAAAGAAGAATTTAAACATTTGTGGGTCCTTGTACTCATGCCATCTTGACCTATCAGGCTATGATGTATTATAAGTTTCAGAGGGACCAAATTAGCCATACTAGATTGTGCGGTAAATAATTAATGTAGAAGGGTTGAAGTTGCTTTGGTGTCATGTCACCTTGTATCAAAGAAAAAAATTTTGTAACCCAGAAGTATCAGCATTTCTCTGGCACATGTTGCTTGACACTATCTTTTTTTTACTGCAAAACCAAATCATCAACAGTTTCTAACCTAAACCAAATATATGACTGTTACACAGTATTAATCCCTACTGTAGTACTTTCACGATTTGCCTAAGTACATGCGAGCAGCCTTTCCGTGAAAACCGAAAAAACCATCTAATGATAACATGGCAATACTTTCATCTGTAATATTAATTATTTTCTGCTAATATTACTTTTGGACTTGCATATCTATATAGACTTTTGCAACCGAAAAAACCATCTAATGATAACATGGCAATAAGCCTACTAGTTGTGCTTACAGAGATACACACCCTTGGCTCAGGGATTAACCTCTCATCCAAAAATCAAACCTTTTCACATTCAAGCAACAAAGAAATAACTGCAAACCAGTGGCAACTTTATACCAAAACTAGACTTTTGCAACCTGAATCCAACCCTATGTCACTCACATATGTTGCATATAATTGCCTAGTACTTACTTTTTGCTATAACATTCACAGAGACATCAATCAAATCCATTTTCACATTTAAGCAACAAAGAAATAACAGCAAATCAGTGCCAACTTTATACCAAAACTAGATATTTTAGATATTTAGTTTTTTTTTCTTTTTTTTGCAACCTGAATCCAACCCTATGTCACTCACATATGTTGCACATAATTCCCTAACTCTTTGCTGTTACCATCCACAGATACATCAACCAAGTCCATTTCACTCACAAACCATGAAACCAAGAACAGGCAGCCTCACCTGGAACCATGGAGAAGTTCAGAATTTCAGGGACACCCCTGTCCATGGCTGGAACCTGAGGAGGATCCAGAGGAGTCTGTGCTCTCGGCACCACGCCCTCCGGCGACATGGCCGGCTTCCCCTGCCCCAGTGGCTCGCCGTACAGCAGCCATGGTAGAGAGCCTCCTCCATTGGAGGCCAGGGTGGCCACAGCAGCAACCTGCCCAAATCCTTCTTGGCTCTTGTTGAAGCTCATCATTGTGACTGCTTGCCTCCCCAACAAGCTTGATTGGTTGAGCTCAGCAGCAACCACTCCGAATGTATTTTTCTAGGATTGGGATTATGTTAAGCACCTAATCACCCACTGCAATCACAAGAACCAAAAAGGAATTGGATTAGACTAAGCACCAAATCAGGTAGTGAGATGCAGGAAGAGAGGTGAAACTTCAAAAGGAGATGACAAGATTAGCCAAAATGCAAAGGATGCCCCAAGAGAAAAGACAATCTAAGCAGAACAAGATTAGCAAAAGGAAGATAGTAACAAGGCAGATGAAGCAGACCAAGAACCAACTTTACCAAAGAACCCATGGCCAATCACCATACAAACATATGCATCAAAAGAGCCACAAAGTCTCACACTTGGGTAAATTATTAGTAACAAAAAGAAAAAGACCCCCCAAACCACATGAACAAACAACCTTGGGTGAATAAATGCAAGATCAAACCTTCCCAAGAATCCAGAAATCCTCTTTTCACCTTCCCAACTGAAACCAAGAACTTCAATAACCCACAGGAGTCACAAAACCAAGAACTTCTCAATAACAAGGTGAGCTACTACTACTACTACTAGTAAGCATAGGCCACAGCCACAGCCAGCAGGTGCATGTGCAGCAGATGCAAGAATCTCCCACTGAGCAGCAAGAAACCAAACCGAAAGGATCCAAGGCATGCACGGGGGAGTGTGGAGTATAGCAAAGAAAGAAACAAGAAGGCCCACTCACATTTCATCAGGCTTTCAGCAGCAGCAGAAGCCTTCTGATGGGGTGGAAGATGACAACAAGAAGCGCGAGAGGTGAGAGGAGAAGAGAGAGCGAGAGAGAGAGGAGACAAGACTGGACGGGGAGGCCGCGTATAAATGGGCGATGCGACGCTACTGAAACCAAGAAAAGCCAGCCTCTCCTTCCTCCCAACTTGATGATGAGAGCCAAAGTTGGGAGGGACTAGGAGTACTGATTACCGATGCACAATTTAATTATTCTGAAATAGTACAGATTACTGATAGATTTTCTTATTTTGTGATGGTATTTCACGGGAAGTTGGAAGTTTATATATAGGAAAATTTTGAATGTGATGTGATGGAAATTAAAAGTTTGGGATAGTTGAGGGTGAACTAAACACGGTCTAATTGAATTAGAGGAATTTCACGGGAATTTGGAAGGAACTGAACTGTTTCTCGTGAAAATCCTATAAAGGTTAAACCGAATAAATTAACTATTACATTACAAATTTATTTTTAAAAAGTATTTAAGCAATTTATATAAAAATTTAATCGTTCCGCTGAAAGAATCGTGCCTGAATACTAATCTGTCAAGCTTCAAAAAAAAAAAAACTAATCTGCCACAAGTGATGCCCACTACTAGCCTAGTAGCCTCCTGTTGTCCTCATCATCAATGCAATGCAAAGATCCAGTTTTTAATTTGTTTTGTTTATTCCCCAAATGGAATCATTTCATCCATCCATCCATCCACTTCCCACTGCTGGAATCATTTAGTTTAATCCCCTCACGGCAAATGGGTTCTTAATGTGCACTATCATGATGCCAAGAGGGGTAAAAAAAGGATCAAGTAGCACTAAAAGCACTTTGGCTAGAGCTACTAAGCTGGGTAAGGAAGATTAGTCTGCAGAGCCATGCCAACTGACAGAACTACTAATTCTACTACTACTACTACAAATTTGGTCAGACAGGCATGAACAGTAGGAGCATTTGTATAGCAATTGCTGCCTGTAACCAACCATTTTGGCTCCCATAAAATCTACTATCCTCCATTGCTGAAATGGAAGGAGGACAGTGCCACTGTTTGTGCATGGCTGATTACTCTGGATTTGCACCCTCCATGTCGGCCATTGAGGGATATGATTTGGGTGCAATTGACAGTGTAACTGTAACTTAAGCTTAAGGGTACAATGCAATGTTTTTACTACTGTAGATAATAATCTTATGACATCTTTAGAACGTACGACTTGAAAAAGAAAAACGCAGGATTATAATAAAAATACATATGTAAAACAGAATAAATGAAAATTACTAACATAGAAGGAAAAAAAAAGAGGGATCTGGTTCTGGTGTGATCTAGCAGTTGTGGTATAGCCATCAACATATTAATTAATTAATTCGATGATTCAGATTCACCTAAGTTCGGTACAGTATAGTATACTAGTACTGTTTTGACTACTGTAGCTAATAATCTGATCCGGTTATCAGGGAGAATGGACGGACACGATGGTGTCTAGTCAGATCTGCCGTTGAGAGGGACAGGGAATCTTTTTAACACGCTAGTACTGTACTCCATCTGTTATGAACTTTAAATTTTTGTTTGCACGGTTGATCACTCGTCTTATTAAAAAAATTTAGAATTATTATTTATTTTTTTTGACTTACTTTATTATCTAAAGTATTTTAAGCACAACTTTTCGTTTTTTATATTTGCACAAATTTTTTTAAATAAGACAAGTAGTCAAACAATGCAAACAAAAACTCAAAATCTCTTATATTATGAGACGGAGGGAGTAGTATCCAATTGAGGTATTTAGTACGTACCCCAATTGTTCTGAGTTTGTATAGTTGTATAGTCATATGTGTACAGGGCCATCGCTGCCTCCACGTTGACAAAATGCCAACAGAATGTTTCAAACCGTTAGGTCAATGGATGAAATGCATTTTGTATGCAGATCAAGAACATGTCGATGACACCCAAAGATAGCAGTAGTTAGTGATTTTTAACTTCAAATTTTATGGTTGTGTTGGTCATAAAGAAACCTACGGACAAACAACCAGTTAGTACTCCATGATTTTACTCCATTGCTGTGAGTATAGCACATTTTCACCCTCATCACTTACTTGCTTGTTACTACCTCCGTTTCAGATTATAAGACTTTTTAACATTATCCAAATTCATATAAATGTAATGATCTAGGCACACATATATATCTAGATTTATTAACATATATATGAATGTGGACAATGTTAGAAAGTCTTATAATATAAAACGAAGGAAGTAGTAACTTTTTACTCGCAACCTTTTTCTCCAGACAAAACTTGCTAAAGTGGTTTTGCTGTGAATGTGACACGGTTGTTGAATACCTAAAACTTAGTTGTGGGACATTGTGATCATTATTTTATTATTTTTATATTCAAATAAAGAGAGAAATCACAAGAAAAAGATAATTTTACCTCCAAGACCAGATGCTTGTAACCGAGTGGGTTCAAACCAGACCCAAGTAACTCTCCCTCCCTTGATCCCCTATCTAATACCCGAGATTTTGCGTAGCAACGACGGTATTCGTGGCAGCTACAAGCTCCTGGCAGTTGTGTCTTATAGCTAATTAACAGTTTTTTTTATGTCTAACGATCATGTTAGTTTTTTTTTTCTATAGAAAAACCGTAAAATTTTTGGTGTCCTATAATAAATTATGTCTTTTTTCGAACACCAAATTTTAAATGTTAAAAGTTGATTTTGTGAGTTCTTCTTCATCGTACGGTAGAGTATAAGTGAATTGTTAGCTTTCATTCATCGGTTTTTGGGTTGAATTGGATGGTACATACAACTTAGGCTGTGTTCGGAATCATATGTTCCCAACATGGCGCATGGAAAACGGAGCGGTCCATTAAAACATGATTAATTAAGTATTAGCTATTTTTTTCAAAAATAGATCCATATGATTTTTTTAAGTAACTTTCGTATATAAATTTTTTACAAAAAGCGCACCGTTTAGCAGTTTGAAAAGCGTACGCGTGGAATACGATGGAGAGGGGTTGGGAACCCCGTGTTCCAGACACAGGGGTCCCAACCCCTCTCCCTCGTTTTCTGCGCGCACGCTTTTCAAATTGCTAAATGGTGTGTTTTTTAAAAAAGTTCCTATACGAAAGTTGCTTTAAAAAAATCAAATTAATCAATTTTTGAAAAAAATAGCTAATACTTAATTAATTACGCGTTAATGGACCGCTCCATTTTTTGTGCGGTGGAGTTGGGTTACCAACCCCAAGTATCAAACACAACCCAACTTTTGTATAAAATTTATTTTGTAAAAAACACATCGTTTAGCAGTTTGATGGGTGTGTTTGCAAGAGCAAGTTCCCAACACTCTTCTCTCGTTTTTCGCACACACGCTTTTCAAACTACTAAACGGTGTGTTTTTTGCAAAAAGTTTCTATACAAAAGTTGTTTAAAAAAATCATATTAATCAATTTTTGAAAAAAAATAGCTAATACTTAATTAATCACGCGCTAATGGACCGTTCCGTTTTCCGTGCATGGGAGATGGGTTCCCAACACCTACCTCCGAACACAGTCTATTTTCTAACTTTTGCTTTAAATCGTGAATAATACAGATATAAAAGTTTTATCCATAATCATTTTATTTTCGTTTCATCTTTCTACGACTTATCAACTGTAGCTCAACACCTCAACCAACATTTGTTTTTAGCCCGCAAATGTTGCAAGCATGCTTTCTAAGTTAAAACATGGCATATATATATCTCAGTATATGTTTTTGAACAATGTAATTTCTGTCAAATTTCTTAAAATACATCTCCTGGATCTTCCAGAATGACAAACACATGTTCTAGCTTTTGGTCTGGGTTCAGTTGGAATGTATCATCTTGGTGTATTTGACTGAATTTTAATAAAGCTTTCATTATCTTAAAAAAAGCTTTTGGTCTGGGTTTATTTTGTGAATAGGAATCTAAAATACATCTCTGGCAAAATAATAAGAGCAGTAGTAGTAATTCAATACTACTTCATGGTTATCCTAGAAAAGCTAAGTAATTAATATGAAGGTTAGTGCTAAGGGAGTCAGAACGCGCGTTTTGTTAGTGCACAAGGCTGAGGTTTTCATACCAAAACTAAGCTCATTCATGCTCCACTTACAGTAAGCTAATGGGATAATTAATCTGGCAGAGAGATGTGTAAAGTTTAAAAAAGGATGAAAAGGAAGTAAAAAGGACAACTAATGAGGGGTCATTTTAGATGAGGGCTATTAATAAGGGTTTTATATTTTGTAAGTCCACGACTTTGTGCTGGCCAAAATTTTCACTTAGAAAAGGTTTTAGGAAGTTTCCTTATTCTGAACTAGGGTAAGGATGGAAGAAAATGGTGATGAGATGAGAAAAGAAGATTTTTTTCTTCTAATATATTGACGTGCAATCCTTTTGCGTGTTCGCGATCTTTTTTCCTTTTAGAAACAGATGCAAAAGTAGCTAAAGCAAGTATGGGAGATACAAATACTTATTTGCATACAGGATAGATGGTTTCATTAATTTGCTTATGAAGTCACCATTATCTAAGAAGATACGTATTTGCATAGAAAATTTAGGGCTCATTTAGCTTCAGTTTGACAGTTACAATGAAACGTATGCCTATCTTTGCATGTGCATAGTACATGTTCTGCATCACGGCATTGTAATTCAGTTAACCATCCATCACAACTTCACAAGCAATCTTTACTTTTCAGCAAGCACTTCATCATCAGTTCAATGCAAAATCTCACTTATTTCAATTTTCTCTGTCTTTTGAAGACCCTAAAGATCAGTAACCCAATGGCCAAATAGGTTCAGTCTCGGAGAATTCAATCCACAAACCTACCTAACTTTACATTTCAGTGCAAAATAAAAAAAAGGGTGATACAAAAGCCATTTCATTAGTGGAGAAGCAACTACTGGACTAGAATAGTACTGTATCTGCCATCCTTGCAACAGAAACCAGTTCTAGTTA